GTTGGGCCACGTGTTACGTATGCCTGGAAACCGATTACCACGACGTGCAATGCTATTCGGTATTGGAAATGGTTGGAAGAAAGTTAGGGGTGGCCAAACCAAAACGTGGCATCAGTGCTCGAAGTCACTAACTTCTAGTCTGAGCCATGTTGGTAGATGCAGACTACTTGGTTGGGGTCCGCGTGACTAACTTAGTGAATGGTTGGAGACTCTTGGTGACATGGCTCAGAATCGATCACAATGACGTCGGTGTATACACTCTTTGTTTTCCCTTAAACTAAGAGATTAAAATCGCTTCATATCTTTCTTTCTACGAACCAATTCTTTCTTCTTGTACTATATCTCTATATGCAATCTTTCTCTTATATATTACCACCTTTTACCTAACCACTGTTATGAATCCGGTGTTCATCTTGTTGTACTGATGCGGTATGGCAACCTGGACCGATGCACACATGTGCCTGGTCCTACGTTGTAGCTGACTGACTGACGTTCTTCAGATTCCTGAAATCCATCAAGCTTTTATCTTTACTAGTGTTTAATTTCATAATATTTAAATGGTCAACTTATATATAAACTTCCAACAAACGTTTACATTACTGTTTTATGTATATATACTGTCATATGAATTATTGAATAAGAAAAAGAGAATTCAGCGAAGAAAATTTTCTTTTCGACGAAATCATTTACTTTAGCTGTACATTCGTATATATAGTTATATGGAAAATGTATGTCTATAGAAGGATAGAATGGATTGTATCAAAAAGTGGATTCGACAATAAATAACAAATGAGGTTAACGTACTAATCAAGGGGTAAGGAAGAACAAAATTTAAGGGTCAGATAATAGTCCAATTGACAGATATGAAGAAAAACGACAAAACAACAAAGGTCATAATAATAAACTCTTATCATTTATTATTATGACCTTTGTTGTTTTGTCGTTTTTCTTCATATCTGTCAATTGGACTATTATCTGACCCTTAAATTTTGTTCTTCCTTACCCCTTGATTAGTACGTTAACCTCATTTGTTATTTATTGTCGAATCCACTTTTTGATACAATCCATTCTATCCTTCTATAGACATACATTTTCCATATAACTATATATACGAATGTACAGCTAAAGTAAATGATTTCGTCGAAAAGAAAATTTTCTTCGCTGAATTCTCTTTTTCTTATTCAATGACACTATGGGTTATTTTAATTATATGAATTATTTGTGAGTAAAGTAACAGCTTAAACCTTCATTCTTTATTAGCTTCGAAGAATTCCCTATGAAATTCTATACGAATTTTCATAATCATGCTATCTCATTTTCATTCATCCATATACTTGGGGAAATCAATAAGGATAATTTTTTACATAACATTTTCAGACAGGCTTTTACGGTAAATGGTGTTTTATTTTAGTTCAAGCCACTTAAATAATGTGTAAGTAGTCATCTTTTATTTTTACAATTGTAAAAGTGAATATCTAGGTATAATTCACTAAGTATCCACAGATGAGCAGTTTCTTTTCTTATAAAATTTACCATTTGTTAAATCAGATTCACTGAACCTTTGTGACGCTAAATTCTTCACTGAGGTTTAGGCTCTCAGAAATCCATGACTTTTGATTTCTGAATAAAATCAGAAAACAAAAATGTGACAGATCTATTTCTAAGGTTATTTCATTGTCAAAATGTAGTGGGTGGGGAAATTATTCCTAATGGGTTTGAAGTTTAATAAATTTGGAACTGGTATAAATTTAAGCGCTTAACTAATCAGTTAAAATAAAAATTCATGCATCAGCTCCAAAACTTCATTAGAAAATTTCCAAATACAATGGCCATCCAAAATTAGTTCTAAGTATTCTTTAGCTGAAAATGTTGTAAAATGCCAAACATGTCGGTTGAAGAGCAGTAAAACTAGAAGCAGCAAACCAAGATCCGAGGTTGAAGTCGTACTGCTGACTGTATAGAGGTGAGATGGTGTGTTCACAAACCTAACCTTTGCATTCAAAAGAAGTTTGTACAACCACTTTCGCTACCTTGGCCAGCGTTATAGGGGTGTTTGTAACAGGACATTGATAAACTATTTTCGCACTTCTTCCATTTTGTTTTTTGAACTTTGTATTTTACATATTCTCAACATTCATCTCTTGGTCCTTACATAAATACTATTCTACTGACCATTCATCAAAATATTCTGTTCCTTCTCTTTTTCATATATTATGTAACGAAGTAACTTCTTGATTTTCGAATAATTTGATTATCATTAATCCTCTTTCTTCCAATTACTCAATGTTGATTTATAATCGAAATGTGATTATGTAATTATTACGTATTGTATCCATTAGATGAGTATTATTTCATTATTGTAAATCATACACATTTATATTAGTGTCCAGTCATGATGTAAAACTAATTGAGAAGAAATTTATTCACTCGATTCGTTCCTACTTTATTCTTTAGCTTCTTGAGAAGTTTTTTTTCAGAATACTCTTAGATATTAATTAAAGAAATCTCTTAAATATAATTCACAAACCACTCTCCTAGTTTATTAAGGCTTACATATCTGGTTAGTTTAAGATTAACCCAATAACAGACTAATATTTCAACGAAGAATATTCTTTTCGATAAATTATCTTCAAGTTCTACAATTATATATCCAAATTATGGCCAGGTTAAGGGAAAAATGCATCGTTTAAATTGTTGATGTGGACATGACTCATATGGAATGTTAACTTGAATCTGTATATATGTTAAGTGAAAATTTAAGATCCATGATCAGAATGTATATGGGTCAGATAGGGTGAGAGAGATTATAGTGCCATTACAATTCGGTCAAATGTTTAGTGGAAGACTACATTGTGTGAAAAAATATTAGTAAGACGTAATAAGGTGGGTTGAATGCAAAGTAAATAAATCATGTATTGAGGAGATTAATAGGGATGTTTAACCAATAATAATAATAATAATAATAATAATAATAATAATAATAATAATAATAATAATAATAATAATAATAATAATACGAATATTTGTGAATAAAAATAACAGAGAACATTAAATTTGACTACGAAAGGTCTTAAGTACAGTAGTTAAATTAGGTCATTCAATAGCTAAGGTTACTATTGTTTAATTGACCTTGAGGTTGGCCAGGGGAGCAGAAGAGGTTGATAATATTACTTTTGTGCGCATAGCTCAGGTTCCTTCATCCGGATGGCTACTGCTTAATCCGTTTGAAGGATTTTATATCTGTCAAGCTTTAGCAAAAAATTACTGACTCGATAAATAACTGAAAAGGATTGGTTTATGCTAGCACTATCTCAAAAATACTTAAGAATGGAATTTTCAATCATAACAACTTGTACTGTCGGTTACTATGTTAAACTCATATACCTTATTCTAGTTTTTGGACAGGTGAATTTATCCATTTTTCCTGAGTCATGTTTTAAATGTGTTAATTATTCACTTATTAACCCTGATTGTTTTTATATAAGCGTGTGTGTGTTTACACTTCTTATCCCATTCATCACATGTTTGTAATTTATTTTTATCTGGCTGTAACTATTGATTAACGCTTGGTTGAAAAAGAGTTGGCTCATACGTCTTCAACACCACGCTTCATTTCGTTTCGTTCTCTTCTATTCAATTCATCTCTCTCATTACCTGTCCAGATCAGAGAAAATGTACAAAATATAATTATTCAAAAATTCATTCTCGTATTCGACTTATTTAATTCTGTTATTCACTAACACGAGTTAAATCAATGATTATATACAACGATTATCTAAATAAACGGAATACACCCATTATGACATTAAATAAGAAAGAAAGATTAGTTCAACGAAGAGTTCGGCGAATTCATTTTCAAAGCTGTACAATCGCAAGTATATATACTTATTTTTACAGAATGATAGTAATACTGATAATAAACTTGTTATACATAGTGACAGTGAGGTTAAATAAACAAAGATATTACATTATCTAAATGTATATTTTAATAACAAACAATCAGAAACAGTCAAACTGCAATCATAATCTAGACTACTAAAAACAAATCAATAAAAATTTTTTTCTTATAATCTACATTAACAAAGGGATGAAACTTAATAAAATGTGTATCCTCTAATATTTTTTTTCTGGTTAGCGTTTTTTAGCGAGTTAGTTTTCTACGGGATGGGGACGCTATCCCGATGCCCAACCCTCCTCCTTTATCCGGGCTTGAGACTGGCAGTAACCCCGGAGGGACTCCGAGCGGAGTTACTTCTGATCCGTTGGCCGGACACTATTAACAACAACCTACTGTGGGAGAGAACAAACCACATCCCAGCGGAGGAAGAAATCAGGAAGAAGCGCTGGAAGTGGATAGGACACACATTGAGGAAAGCACCCAACTGTGTCACAAGACAAGCCCTCACATGGAATCTTCAAGGCCAAAGGAAAAGAGGAAGACCAAAGAACATATTACGCGGGGAAATGGAGATAGACATGAGAAAAATGAACAAGAATTGGATGGAACTAGAAAAGGAGGCTCAGGACAGAGTGGGTTGGAGAATGCTGGTCGGCGACCTATGGTCCATTGGCAGTAACAGGCGTAAGTAAGTAAGTAATATCCTCCAATACAAATGAATCAAGATATAAAATTGATACCAGAATTATTATTTGAAATTTGAAAGAAAAAAGCAAACAAACAACAAACAAACAAACTATTTACAATGAATAAGTTTATTAATCAATTAAGATGAGTACAATTGATCAGTTGATTTACACTTTTATTATTAGTTCCTATATCCATTAATCAATCAAACAAGCAAATAAATAAAAATAAACCCCGTCAACTATTAAAAATCAATAATATTTCATATGAATATACATCAATAAAGTGCATAAAATTATATTTTCTTTATTCATTTAAACAAATTAATTATTTATTGAATTTTTAATCAAGAGCGCTAATTGAATATAATTAGGCTAATTGAAATAAAAACAGTGAAATTTTTTTTTAAAAAAATATGAATTTTAATAATTCAAATATTGATAGAAATTTAAATCATCCAATATGGTTGGATAATCAGAAATCTATAAATTATACAACTATTTCAAAAATGAAGTAAGTATATTGGTTGTTTTTGTTGTTGTTTGTTTTTTTGTTTTAAAATAACAATCCAACTTCTTCATTAAAGATGATACTTTTTTGAGATGATGGAGTTTGTGATGATGATGATGATGATGATGATTATGTCGTTCAAATGAACGATGAAAGAGCCCTCAAATGCCCTGGTACGGCTGAGAGTGGGTAGAGTCCGCTCTCTCTCTCTCTCTTGAAGTGCTACCACATCGCCACGCGTATATAGCCTCTGCCAGGGAAGCCCTACTCACTGCCTTCTCGTGACGGGGGTGTTATTTACGAAATTGAGGGGACGAAAAGCGAATGTCTGGTGCTTTAACCGTGTTGGTGGACATGGAGAGTTCATCTAGCGGAGTTGAAAAACCCTGATTCCAAACCATTGATGCACATAGGCTCCAATGTCTTCAAGGAACAAATGGCCTATGAACCAATCGTTGATCACTGGCTACCATGGGACTGCATCTCCTTACGATGTCCCACTGCCTTGTGGATCAGACCTTCAGATCGAAGGCTCTGGGTGTGGTTCCCTAAGAAAACCACTTGCTTCGGTTTGGGCGCCCCGGCAGTATCACAGCCCTCACACATATCAAATAAGATCTGTATGTATTCGGTGCCCCTTTGTACCAATATTTATGTGTTAAAATAAATAAAATAATAAATCATCTAGTTCAGAGAATAAAACTTCATCAAAATGATACATTTGTTTTCTTTCGTGGAATAGTATTTCATTTTAATGTTGTGTAGATTAAAAATAAGGAGAATTTAATGAAGAAAATTTTCTTTTCAATGAAATCATTTACTTAAGCTGTTTATTTGTATTTCTAGTTATATGGAAAATCTATATCTATAGAAAGATAGAAAAGATTGCATCATAAACTTATTCGATACTCTTACTATCAAATGAGGTTATGCATGGCTTTTAAAACAGAGATGTAAAACAATTACTAGTCCAACTATGAACACATCGCTCCAAAAGAGTCTTCTTTTAAAATAATCTACATAGTCAAAGGAATAGGATCGAAGGGAAGTTGAATCAAAATCTTATACACTGCTGAAACGTTGACAATCATCCATCAACTCAAGCCCGAACTTTACATGCAAAAACGATACGTTCAACCTCCCATCCTTCCTTGGTCCTAATTCCCTTTAATATTTTGTTTCGGCTTTTTTCCTTTTTACTTAGTTATTATTGATTTTTAAAATTATTGTTTTGCAATCTTAAATTCTAATCTTTTATTATTATTACTACCCTTATACAAGTTTTGTTGATTATTGTTCAGTTTTTATCATTGTGACCTTTATGCTTGTCGTTTTTCTTCATATCTGTCAATTGGACAATTATCTGACCCATAAATGATTTTCATCCTTACATTCCTTCCTTACCTTTTGATTATTGCATAACCGCATTTGATAATGAGAGTATCGAATCAAATTTTCTATCCTTTTATAGACACATATTTCCCATATAACTAGAAATATGAATGTAAAGCTTAAGCAAATGATTTCATCGACAAGAACACTTTCTTCATTGAATTCTCTTTATTTTTGTGTAGATTACTTTATAGAATATGCTAACTGTAATGAAGTGTCAGTCACTATATTTAAGAATGAATATGAACTAGATATTGTGTTCAGTATTATACTTACATTAAAAAGGCATAAAATTGCTTGTGGGAGATAACCATCTCGTATTCAACTCAGATCGAGCTCGACTGAACATGACTTTTCATTAGAATTCTAGGAGTCATATCTTGAGGCTAGTCACTAGTGAGGACCAGATTACTATTAGTATTGGGGATATATGAAGATTGTTGAATTTATCAGTTGAAACTAATTGACACCTTTGTGATCTATCATTGTAAATGTTTCAGATTAGTAGTGGCCTCAGTGGGTTAATAACAATGTCACTATGATATTCTGTGACATAGGCACACTTCCGACTTTACACTCTGACAAACCCAAATCATTCAAAGTTCTCTGCCAGTGTAGTCTTAAATAATCAATGGGTAAAAATCCTGTGATCTGCATTTTCACTTTTATCTGTAGCCCACTGCTTTATTACAAACAAGTTTCTGAATTGAACTTTATGGAGTGTATCTGGATGTTATTCATCAGCGTGTAAATTACTGTCATTGACGTATTACTGACGGAAGTTTGCGGAGATTATTGAGTTTTATGCTTTATATCATGGATAGACCTTATTTAAACAACTAATGAACGTTAGAAACCACTAAACTGCTGCTATTTCCTTATGTGTAGCCCCTTACAAGTACGCATTCATAACCCGACGGCTGCTGAACCATGGACCTTCGGACATTGTACTGGGCACTCAGATTTTAGGCAACAGACCCGAGTTCCACCGGTTTACATGTTTGACTTCATGTTAAGACAAAATAACTTTCCAGTGTTTCTTGGTTTCCCAACGTCTCCTAACTATGTTCAGTTAGTGACGTGAACTATATTATTATTTAATAGAATAGAATGTATAGATTTGTTCAGTTTGAATAAGATTTTCATAAACAAGTGTTATTGGTTGAAAAGCTAAAGATCATTTGAAAACTATTTCATCCATAATTTTGGACACCATAGTGATGTACACTCACTACCCTGAACATAATCGAATTCAAGATTTTTTGTCTGTTGGATGAACGGTCATAAATGCAAACTGTCAAACTAAATTACTGAAACAGGGTGACATTTTAGACTATGGCATCACAATTTCACAATCCGTTTTAAGTATATACCGATCCAACGTGCTGTTATTTACCGATCAAAGCCATTTCATTTGTCAACTAGAGATACTATCAGTTGACTGTTGTGGATACTGAAAATTATTTAATTCTAATAGAAGTATATCTCTTCAGTTCTTTTTATGTTATTGGTGCGCTCTCACAACTCTATATCACGTCTAACAAGGGACTTTCAAGTCACCTATGGAGCACAAAATGGTTGACTCGTGCTGAAATCCTGTTGTAAACAAATTGACTGAAAGTGAAAATGTGAACTGGTGAATTTCAGCTCAATGATCTAAATTTATTGTGCTACTAGTAGGATTCGTAAGTTCTGACCCCTATATCGGGTGGGTTAGGGAGTATTAATTACTGAAAAAAATTCAAGATAGACTAAGACATCTGTCCACCGTCCTCTGACCTGTTTCTAGTATATATATATATAGTTATTATTGTAATCCAGTTATTTACACTCATTTATGTCAAATGTTTTCACACTATCTCCATGTAAAAATTCTATCACACTTTTGGTTTGTAAGCAGCTGACGAGAAACCTCGAAATAATATGAATTCATACTATTCTGCATCAATGTTTGTTCTTGCTCTATTCAATCTATATTAACTAGTCGTTTATCCGACATTAGTTCTTGGTAAAAATTGTGTACAAAATATCGGAAGGTCTCCACAAAAATACAGAAATTAATCAATTATGTTACTAATTAAAACTATATATCTTCTTTTCACAGTATACTTATATATATAAGTACATATCATTCAAAATTGATCATATCGTGTCTACAAATGACTTTTTGTCAAAATTTGATCTGAACTAAATTAACAGTGGTAGCATTGGTTGTATCAAAGTTAGAAGTACAAATTCTATTTAGTTAATCTAACCAGATCAGTTAGCCAAGTCTATTAGTATTTTACCGATAAATGGATAGGAGATGTAGGTTTACCTTATCATTGCTTTATACTTGTATTTATTTAGGCTTTAAAATAAATCACTGAATAGAGACGTGAGGACTTACGACTTAAAGTGGGCTTTTTGATTGGAGTTAAACAAAAGGTCCTACAGAATCACAATCAGTCCAAGCTTCATCAAACTTACTGTTAATATTCAAAATGTATTCTTTGGAAATGAGATGTTTTAGGTTGCTTACATTAATTATTAGTAATTATAAAGATTATAAGCAATCATTTCTCTCTATCGAGATCAAGATTATCACTGGCCAGGTTCATCTGAGATAGATGAATTGTTTAAAGGATCTTCTTCTTATTTTCTTATTTCAATTAGTTTCATGTTTTGTATTTTCGTCTCCGGATTTAAATTTGGATTTGCTTAGGTCAATCCTTATTGGTAGGGCGAAATATGTTTCTAATCCTGATGACTCTCAATATAATGTTGAGTGAATATATGCATGAGCTGTAAAAGATGATTAATATGGTATACTGGAAGATCTTTTAACCGACTGTTTTTAATTCGTGGTTGGTCAACCTAAATATTGCTGATGAAGAAATGCTATTAATTCGAGACCGGGTATAACGTGATCAGACAGACCGATAGCTAGTGTACGACGGTACTACACTAATGACGATTCCATGTAGATAAGAAAGAAAATAAAAATATTCCTTAGGAGAGGTTTTGTGTCCCCAAAAGATTACATAGACAGTGTTTTATGAGGAAAATTAGTTAGTAGATGTGTCAATTACTTGGTAGTACCACGGTACATAGGTCACAGCAATACTGAGACGAGAAAAGTTACAGTATAAACTGTCGTTATATGAGCCTCAGACCCTTCTCACTATATCTGTTAGACAAATCAGGGTCATTTATATAATACATGCGGTTATCCAATCCACAAGGTTTCTTTTGTAATCAAGTGACTATATTGAATCATCAGAGGGATGTTAGATATGTATATACATACATTCTTCCTTTATCTCCAAAGTTTGAGTCTCAACGTTATTCTATATTTTTTTGTTTCTAGATTTTATTCTCGCCTTTTGAATGACATTTTTGACGTCTACTTTCTCACTATAATTGATATTATTAATATCGTTATTCGATTAATTTTGCTTTTCGTTTGATTAATTTCCTCTCATTGTATTAGTGTGGATTGTAACAAATAGGATCGATGCACATTAGTAAGATATCTTACTTAGTTCATGCCCGATTGACTAAGTACCTTATTGTTCAGCTATCTGAATAATTCAGCTGTAAACTCTCAGTGGATTTCTGAAAAGTACGAGAAAAGACCATCATTACTGTCTGATAATAAATTAGCATCATGTGCTAACTGGAGAAAATAAATAGGCTATAACCTGACTTTGTTCACTTTGTGTATAATAAGATAAAGATCATTCATTGTTGTTGATTTTTCTGCAATCCTATTCAAAGGTAACTAAAACCAAATGAAATTAAAGACTAGAATAAGTTAACGAAACTTCACCGATTACGAAAGACTAATAATCTGTTAAAAAATATAATCAAAGTGATATTTTAGGTTAAATCATCAAGTTGGTTGTTAGAAATTCATTTATTCAGTGTTTGTTTACTGTGATCCTAATGAGAGGCTTAAATATCAAAGTCGGAATGGACAACGCCGGATATGAAAATATCATGGGACGGCATGGATTGGGATAAGGAAACGAAAATGAGGGAAGATTTGAAAATCTATATGCATTCAACCATTTGGTTATTGGCTGCACAATATTTCCACACAAACGAATACACATAGTTACATGGGTCTCATCGGATCACGCCACGGAGAATCAGATAGATAATATTTGGATCAGTAAAAATTTCACAAAGTCAACAGAAGACGTGCGAGCAGCTGATATAGCTTCAGATCACCGTCTACCTGGTGGTTGCAAAGATGAAACTGAGGCCAAAAAAGCACTGGACAAACACAATTACCAGAGTTTAATGCGGCCTTCATACGACGTAACGACAAGCTAAACGAATTCAGAATAGCTCTCAACAACAAGTTTCAAGCCCTACAAGAGCTACTGAAAGAAGAAGAAATTACTATGGAGGACAATTCTACAGAGACCAAAGAAGCATAAACTTTAGTGTCAGGAGGTTCTGGGTCCCAACAAGCATCATCATAAGGAATGGATCTCCATGGAAACCCTGAACAAGATTCAAGGAAAGAAGGACAAGAAGACAGCAATTAACAATAGCAGAGAAAGTCAATGCACAAGCTGAATACACAGAAGCAAACATGCAAGTCAAGAAGAGCATTAGAGATGACAAGCAAAAATACGTGGAACACCTAGCAACAACAGTGGGAAAATCTGCAAGCGAATGAAATATGAAACAACTAGATGACATCACGAAGAAACTGGTAGGGAAATCTGGTACTCCAGAGCGACCAGTCAAGAACGAGAAAGGCAAGCCAATCACTGAGATTCAAGAAATGAGAAACAGATGGGTAGAACACTTTGAAGAACTCTTGAATAGGTCAGCTTCATCGGATCCACCAGACATCGAAGCAGCACATACAGACCTTCCTATGTCACTCCATGGACGATCGAAGAGATCAGGATAACCGGTCATCAGAGAAATCAAGAGTGGGAAAGCAGCAGGACCTGACAATAGACTGAAGTCGAACACAGAAGTAACTTCAAACATGCTCCACGTTCTATTCAGGAAGATTTGGGAGGAAAGTTAAATCCCACTGACAGACTGGGAAGAAGCACTCCTCATCAAGATACCAAAGAAAGGAGATCTGAGCATTTGTGAGAACTATAGAGAGATCACACTATTATCGGCACAAGGAAAGGTTTTCAACGGAGTGTCGCTGAATTGGATGAAAGATTCAGTAGACGATCAACTTCGAGGTCAACAGTCCAAATTTCGTGAGGATTTGTTGTTCACAGACCAAATCACGACACTACGGGTCATTGTTGAGCAATCATTTGAATGGAACTTGTCACTATGCATCAACTTCCTTGAATATGCGAAGGCGTTTGACAGTGTAAATAGGATCACTTTGTGGAACCTTGTTCAACACTATGGAGTGAGTAGCTGATAAAATCGTCAACATCATACGGAGTTCATAGGACGGACTACACTGTGAAGTGGTGCATGGAGGACAGGTGACAGACGCTTTTCAAGTGAGGACCGGATTATGAAGACCTCCACATCTGAGGGGATTCACAGAATACAATGGACAGCTCGGATTCACCTAAACGATACTGACTTCTCAGATGAACTAGCCCTTCTATTTCATACACACGAACAAATGCAGATGAAAGTAATTCGTGTATCAGCAGCCTCTGCATCAGTAGGCCACAACAAACACAAGGAAAAACTCAAGATCCTCAAATGCAACATGGAGAACACCAATCCAGTCACACTATGGAAAAGCTCTGAAGAAGGTTAAAACTTTCACGTATCCGCGTAGCATTATCAGTAAACAAGGAGAATCTGCTGCACATATGAAGTCACGGATTGGGAAAGCAAGGACAGCATCCTACAGTTGAAGAACGTATAGGACTAAAAACAACTGCCAACCAACATCAAAGTCAGAATCTTCATTACGAATGTCAAGACAGTTCTGTTGTTCGGAGCTGAAACTTGGGGAACTACTACAACCATCATCAAAAATGTATGAGTATTTCTAAACAATTTTCTACTCATGATACTCAATGTCCGTTGACCGGATACCATCAGCAACAGACTGCTGTGGGAGAGAACAAACCATCTTACAAATGAAGAGGAAATTCGGAAAAGACGTTGGAGGTGGATAGAACATACATTCAGAAAGTCTTTAGACTGCATCACAAAGCAAATGATAACTTGGAATTCTGAGGGGGAACGGAAAAGAACACACTGCGCTGAGAATCGGAAGCACACATGGAAAGGACGAATAGCAACTATAGAGAACCGGAAAGGATTACTCAGGACAGAGTTGAACAAAGAATGATGGTGGGCAGCCTGTGCTCCTCCACCACGTGGGGTAATAGGCCTAAGTAAGTAATACATCAAATACATTATTTATACAAATTTCTCCAGTTGTCCCATGCATGCCTTATGATTCTTTCAATTCTTTTGTTATAACAGTTACTCTCTGTTTCCCTTCCTGTTGTATTTAATTCGATCTTCTCAATCTTCTGCTGCTAGATATTCCACTTCTGACTGATGTTACATGCTACTTATATCTGTCAACATAAGTAGCACATACCACAATATTAGTTCAATATTTTTATTATGTGAAATTTCTTGCTAATTGAATTTTATGTTAATTTTCTATCATTTAGCTATACTCGATATCCAAATCGAAAGCTTACACCAGCCGCTACTTCAATTCGACTTCGTCGTAACGAAAACAATTGTTATGCAGTATCTGGTCATCAGAGAACACCAAGCGCACCTAATCTAAGATGTGATATACCAGTAAACTGTCAGCATGATAGACAAGAGGACAATTTGTTCAAGTATCATAGACCTCGTCAATTATTACGTCGAAAAGATTCTATTCAAGCTGCACCTCCACATATTTTATCCGAAGACAGATCATTGTATAAATCTACGTTTACTGGACAGATGGCTCGTAAGTTATCATCTACTATGTTTAGGATGCTATATAGTTTATAAAAATTGCTTACGAGTTAAGTATTATATTGTTTTGACAAAAAGTCCTCTTAGTCAGGACTGAATGCTTGAATATTTCAGTAAACGTCAACTCAATGTCTTATTAAAACCTTCTTAATTATGTAAGAAAACACTGTCTTCATTAAATTCGAGATATTTATATCTAGTTATTTGAATTCAGAGAACACCTTTATAATAAGAATTGTGCAGTTCTGAAATAATCAAACTCAGTCACTTTAAAATACTGTATGAGTTATGCTCGTTTAGTTCTAAACTTATAAAAGAAGACCGACTTTTAAATTTAATGCTCAGTCAATGAAGCTTAGTTGTGATACTACCTAATAATTCTTAATAGTGATTATCAATTCAACAAGATATACAGGTTTTACCAACTTCAATTTAATAATTTCTCATGTAACTGTCCAATTTGAGAATAAATCAAACAACAAGGAATCGTTTCTCATCTAACTATTGAAAAAACGTGAATTTCAACCGCGACTGATCTTTTCTAGTTAAATACTCTTATTAATATAATATTTTGGTCTTTTATTGTGTCCCTGACTAAATATATTAGATAAAGTTCCAAAAAGGCAACTTAGCAGAACAGTAACTCATTTTACAAGTTTTCCTATAACATTTACTTTGTTTATACATAACGGATCTGATCTCTACACAGAATATTGGTGAATTGGAGAATTTACTAAAACTTGAGTTCAAAAACGGACATGTTCTTATAAGCATTTACCTATCTTTAAAGTTAATATATATATATATTAAAAGTACTGCAATTTTAGAAAAATATCAACATTCAGGAAATAGCATATATTCATATTGAAGATTATGGATGTGAGTAATGAAATCAATAATAGTTAAACATGTACGAAAAAATAAATATTTTTGGTAGGGAATATGAACTTGGAAGACAGTCAGCCTAAAATCAAAGTCATATTTAGCGAGAAAACGAGCTTCCGTAAGCATAATTTTTACTGATCAAATTTTTTTTGTGTGGTGAAATTATCAGATTTCAAAAACATGCGAATAGAAACAGTGATGTTTAGTGTAAGGTTCACCTCTCAGATAACATGACAAAGTAGGTCACGCAGCTCACGCGTCCCAAACAGGATCAAGAGCGCGTCCTGGACTCAACTGTAAGCTACCATCACCTCCGCTTATAATAATATTCTTAATAGTAGTCGACCGCATAAGTGCCTTTTGTACAAGTAAACTTAATAAACCCATACTGTGCGTATTACCTCGATATTGCCTTAATTTACAAGCACTGAAAGCAAAGTTGAATAGCGGCTAGCAGTGAAATCTAGTACGCGCGTTTCGTTCTATACTCAATACGCGCAGTATGCACATTCGCCAATAAGATACTGATCAATTTCAGTCTTAAATATCAATCGGAAGATTCAAGTAAACAATACCAAGTGAATTTAAACTTCACCCCATTGCACAGACAAGTGGCTATCAGGACTCAGTAGCTGAGTGGATAACTCGATGGCTTTTGAAGCGGACGGTACTGGGAACGAGTCCCAGAGTGAACATCAACTCTGAGATGCAAGTACAACCAACTGAAAATTCCCAAATAGGACGAAACGCGTGTTCTGGATTCCACAGCTAGCCACTATCAATCATTGCTTATAACACTTTAAATTCGATTGTTTACAAATAACTAGTTCAGGATTGGAAATAAACATCACTATTATAAAATGGTTACTGATCGAATGAACATAATACTAAGCTTTGCAATACACAGCAGAAGACTGTAATGATTTTAACCAAAAAATTTCGCTACTATGAAGCTTTAATTCAGTTATTTATATTTGTAACTGATATGTCAACAATTCTGATTTTAAACCATAATGTTCTACAATACCCTATATCAATAAGGTCCCTGTGGCTAATTTTCCTTTATCATTGTTGCAAATATATATCCGAGGTAAATGTTTATATTCGACACATAATTTTTATCTCCATGTCCTATCATTATTTACGTAGATTAATTAATGTTACTTTTTGAAATTTCCATTTATCGATTCAAATAGCCCGTCCATCTAGAATCCAACCACGTGAACAAGGTATAAATGGTCTGGAGACAGCTCAACAAAAAGTCAAAAACCTTCTGGAATCAAAGGATTTAACTCATATAAACGAAGATGTATACAAACAAATTTATCCTTTACCAAATAATTCGACTTATAATACTGACTTCAACGAGCATATTTTCCAAGATGTTTATTCGGAAAATACATTACCGAGAATTAATTCTAAAATGCAAGATAATTCAACTGATTATCGAGAAAATTATCATTCATGGATTAAACCATCAAGAAATGATGGGATTATGCAACGAATTGGGTACAATTGGAAACCTACACCTGCTGTATATCTTCCAGAAGATCCTAATAAACATGAACCAATAGAATCTAGTACAGTATATCGATCGAATTTTATTGATTTTTCCAAAGAAAAAATAAAAGCTCGTATGAAACCTAGTCAAAAAGCATGTTATTCCGCTATTCAAGCAGATAAATTATTAAATAGTTTTGATGGTAAACAAGAAAGAATACCAAAAACATTATATCGTGATTCATTTATTGGTTTACATAATGTAGATAATTGGAGTGATAGACATATATTACAAAATTCATCATCGGTTACATCCCGAACTGGTAGATATCAACAAAATGATGATATGTATTGGTTTGGTGTAGATGTAATACCATATAGAGATACAAAAGAATCCATTTTTACTGAATCATGTTATATAGAGAATCCTTATCAAAAATTACAAGTTTAGTAGAAAGATAATGAATGATACATACAAATGTAAGAGTATAAATAACAATTTAACATTTATAGTATCATTCTATCAAAACGAAATTAATTAACAATAAGTTTATGAATTTAGTTTCTTGTTTGATTAGTAAACTTCTCAACTCTTATTTTATTTTACTTGATTGGTTTCTTTTTTCTTTGTAATAATTAACTGGAACAGGTAATTTTAGTAATACATAAATTACTTATGTAATCTTCATTCATGCAATTATACATTGATAAAGGCGCCAAAATGCTTTCCATTTTGTTTTTATTCATCAACTCTAATTAAAATTAATTTATTCATATGATTGATCTTTTCATATTGTTGTATTAGTTAGTTAATTTGATATTTAAGTAGCTCATTCATCATGGAGTATAACAATGAAGAAATAGGTCCCAAGAGTAATTTGTATATTTTGTATATTTTAGCACCGTTTTCTTAATCGAGTATTGTTATAACTTGTTGTAACGTGTGACTCTGCAGGTTTTGATAAGCAGCGTTTATATCGATCGCTTCTGTGACACGTAAACACGTAATGGATGATCTAGGGTCCGTTTGGCCCTGTTTCGCTGTCTATCCCAGCCAGTTGAGTCCAGAACGCAAGTCACAGCCTCTGAGATATGAATCATTATATTTCAAACACACTCTGTTTCTATACTAACCAAGCAGATCACATCGTACCATAAAAATAGAAAACAACATTTACACAATATTAAACAAGTGAAGTAAATATCGACCAATAGGAAATATACATTTAACGTCCAAGGACACCATTCGACTTGACACGATAATTATTGGCATATTCCTCTGCATACCTAACATAACTTGTGAACCTGTGTGCCCTGTTTATCGTACAACGCTACGATACCATCAATCAGAGAGCAGCGAATTATCGATCGAACCAGTGATGCATAAAACACGTACGAGTAACCTAGAGTCCCAGTCAGTTGAGTCCAGAACACCAATCTCAGCCTCTGCAATGTAAAATCACTTATTTCAAACATACGGGGTTTATATACCAATCAAACAGACCACAACGTACCATAAAATATGAAACAACATTTATACAATATTTGGCCAAAAGTGGCTGTGAATGAGGGAGGTAGTGATTAAGAGACAGGGAATAATTCAAGAATGGTAAATCGTATAATCATAGTTCATAGGTCAAAATAAAACTCATAATAAGAGGGACATGAATATGAGAAGTTTAGTTACATAACAATTATACGATAAAAATATATTCATAATATTAATCCATAAATGGATCCCAAAAATTACCATTGATTATTCTTATCGGGATATAACAAATATATTTATCTTGGTGAATTTGAAAATAAAACTATAAAATCACCAGTAATCAATGGCTCCAGGTACGACACAAATGAACTTAGCTTAGAATGAGTGGATAACAGCATAGTGTTTAAGTTATTTTCTTGGTAGATGAAACCCACTTATTAATCTGATGAACAGTGAATAACATATGGAGCCTAGGAATGTGTTTTATTACACTATTATTAAAATGTTTATAGGCCTACAGTCTAAAGTTTAAACTCTCAAGTTTTAATAACATGAGGCGAGTATTCTTGATTATTACAGCAATAGGGGTCCTAGTTTCTCATCGCTGCTTCATTTTTTAGCGTTGCATTCTACTAATATATTATTCACGATACCGCTTTTATTTCGTGAACATGATTGTATTTCGATCTAATACTCAAGGCTAATACATAATTGTTACTTGCAATCTAAAAAAACATTGTAATGAAAACATCAGAGCTTTAAACTTAACCATTTTGAATGTAAAACATTTAATCACGGACTACAGTGGCGGAGTAACTCCACTACATAAAAAATGAACTGGAATTACAAACATGAACAATTTTAAGTTATATGCAGCTGACAAGAGGCCATGAAATAAAACAAATACACTTTATTCAGCAAACGTTGTTGCTTGTTACTTACTTACGCCTGTTACTCCTCGTAAAGGAGCATAGGCCGCTCACCAGCATTCGCCATCCAACTCTGTTCAGGGCAATCCTTCCTAGCCCCTTCTAGTTCCTATTCATCCTTTTCATATCTGCTTTCTTCCCCGACGTAATGTGTTCTTTGGCATTCCTCTTTTCCCTTCAGGATTCCAGGTAAGAGCTTGTCTCGTGATGTAGTTCAGTGATTTTTGTAATGTGTTTCCTATCTATTTCCATCGTCTTTTCCTAATTTCCTCTTCAGATGGAAGCTGGTTTGTTCTCTCCCACAGACGTATGGTGCAGATGGTATCCGGCCAATGAATGTTGAGTATCTTGCGTAGACAACTATTTATGAGTACTTGTACCTTCTGCTTGTCGGCCCTTGCTTGTTTGCTTCTATGTATTCAGCTTGTGCTTGGACTTTCTCTGTTCGTGTTCGGCTGTTGTTAATTGCTGTCTTCTTGTTCTTCCTTTCTTTGATCTTGTCCATAGTTTCTATAGAGATCCACTCCTTATGATGGTGTTTCTTTAGGCCCAGAACCTCTTGACACGTTGAAGTTAATGCTTCTTTGATGCCTTGCCAGTTGTCCTCCATACTAGTCTCTTCTTCCTTCCGTAGATCTTGTGAGGCTTGGAACCTGTTGTTGAGAGCTATCTTGAATTTATTGAGTTTGTCAGTATTCCGAAGGAAGGCTGTATTGAACCTTTGTATTGCTGTTTGTCCAGTTGTCCAGTTCTTCTTTAGCTTCAGTTTTAAATCGGCCACAAGTAGGTGGTGAGGTGAACTGAAGCTATATCAGCTCCTCTCCTGGTTCTCACATCTTACATTGTCCTTCAGAATTTTTTGTTGATGCAAATATGATCTATCTGGTTCTCTGTAGTGTGGTCCGGTGAGATCCGTGCAGCTTTGTGTATACGCTTGTGTGAAAATATTGTGTCGCCTATGACCAATTTGTTGAATGCACACAGATTTGCAAATCTTTCCCCATTCTCGTTTCTCTCTCCCAGTCAATCCATGTTGTCCCATGATATCTTCATATCCGGTGTTGTCTGTTCCGACTTTGGCATTTAGATCTCCCATCAGAATAGTTAGGTCCTTTCTTGGGCATTTCTCAATGACTAACTGCAGCCGCTCGTAGAACTGATCTTTAATGTCGTCGTTGCTATCATTTGTGGGTGCATAACATTGGATAATATTCATTGTGATCTTCTCCTTTGTTTTCAATGATGCTTTGATGATTTTGAATCCGTGAGATTCCCATCCTACAAGTGCATTTTGTACTACTTTGGACAGCATTATAGCGACTCCCTGAGTGTGTGGAGCATTTTCCTCTTCGTGACCGGAGTATAGCAGCATCTCTCCCGTAGCTAGCCTTTTCTGTCCAGCTTGAGTCCAGTGGGTTTCGCTGATTCCTAGTACTGCCAATTTGTATCTCCTCATTTCTGTTGCTATTTGACTAGACTTATCGGTCTCCCACATTGTTCAGACATTCCATGTGCCTATAAAAATTGTTGCTCTGATTGTTAGAAGGGTCATCGGCCTTGTGACTTCCGAAGGAACTCGGCTTTCACCATGAGGTGTCATAGTTCTTCTAAATGAAGACCTTCTAACTTTCAGAGCAGAGCTTGAATGATTTGAATTTTTTTTCTGGTTATGGTTTTTCTAGCGAGTTAGTTTTCTACGGGATGGGGACGCTAATCCCATGCCCAACCCTCCTCCTTTACCCGGGCTTGGAACCGGCAATAACTCTAGAAGAGCGATAGGCGGAGTTGTTGCTGCTTGTGCTCTGTTTAAATTTAGCGAATGATCTGGCTGCATAAAATTTTCATTTGTAACTACTCCATTACTTTCAGAACTAACACGGTACTAAGTACTCACATGAAAAGTACAAAGAAAGCAGCCAGGAAGCCATACAATAACAAAGATAGCTAAATGTGTGTTAAAAAGATTTAAACCTAGAGTTTCTGTATCCATGACCATCTTAACCCTCAACAAAACTTATCAGCATACCCACTTAAAATATCTCTCCAGAGATCATGATTGTAATGAGTGCCGTGTCTCTCTTCTCACCAAGCTTTGTCCGTTCCAATTCTCCCAGCTGGTAAGAGTATTTAAGCGAATTGTTTGACTGGCTTTCAGCACCAGACATTCCTAAACAAATTGTACTTATTCATGATCTTTGTGTAGGCGGAAAGCCAGGTCATTAAAATTATACAGAACTATCCATATCATATAGTTATGTTCAGTATGTTCTCACAAAGGTAAGTTACTGTTCAAATGATTTGTGTCAGCATTGACCAATGTAAACAAATAATTGGTTAAAATTCCTATTTTATATGTGCAGTATGTTGATTTGTTTCATAGTGACCACTCACAATAGACTCATTAAGTCTGATAATAAGTGAATATATGACTTTAAATGGATAAGCACATTCTCATGATGAGGAAAAGAAGAATGTCAGTTTCTGTAGTAATGATGAACCAAACACCAGCACTTCAGAGAATGTGTTGTATTCCAACTCAGCAATAAAATCTCATCACATGTCATAGCTTCAACAAATACAGCGTTGATCCATTGGAAAGCTATCGAAGACAACGATTAGGCCCTCATCAAGCGAGTTCAAAAGATCCGAAGATAACCTTCGCGACTGCACAAAAACCCGGGTAGTGAAAGATGTCCAATTTGCACTTCGAACACATAATCTATTTCTAAGAAAGCTCAACCGGCCTACAAAACGCTTTAAGGTGTAGCAGTATTGACACCATTGGTCTTGTTCGGTTTCACTGAGGTCCTGTTCTGCGACGACATCGGGTAGATTCGTGTGTTGGTATTATTGGCTGTAGAGTTAAACGAATCCCCTGAACAAATAGTTCTTTAATTCCTCAGAAATGATGCTGACCTCATTAGTTTTACTGAATATACTCTAGTCGAAGGCGCTTGATCACGCATTTGCACCAGTGGGTACGCTGAGCTACTCATCCCTCGCAACTATTCGCCAGTTTAAGTCAAACACTTTCCAACATATTGTAAACCTAAAAAATATATCTTTC